AAGAATGCATGGAGCGGCTGTACCAGTCGGTTGATGAAGACTCGAGCTCATCGAGCTCCGGTAAGTCTGAAAAGAAAACGAAGAAGGCCCATTGTGTTTGCAGCTTATACCAGAATTGACAAATCATTTTCATGACCCAGTATCAGACCAGCGGATCGAGTCGACCCTCAAAGTTCAAATGTCTTTGATGGATGAATTCTGTGACAAAGCAGTCAACTGTTAAGTTTGGGCAGGACAAGAAGAAGAACAAGAAAAAGAGCAAATCCAAGAAGGAAAAAGCCGCCAAATCCAAGAAGGGCAAACCGCCCACTGATGACGCTGATGAGCAGAAGAAGAAGGTGATCAAAGATGCAAAGAAGGCCGGCCTTCTCGGTACTCCGGGTAAACCAGGGAAAAAGGTAGCCTGTCCAGGGACCCATTCAAGAATCACTTTGGGCATTGCATCAATGCAGCAATCCGATCTTCATGATGTTTTTTGGGGATGGCGTGCACACATGTTCGGATTTGGCGTGGTTCCATGCGGGAAACCATCGAATCGGGGATCGTGTTCAGGGCGCTCCACCCACATGATCGACACTGTTGCAACGTTGGTTTTGAAGCAATGGGACGCCAAAAACGAGGGGCTTTGTTCACCCCCAAGGGTACCATCAAACAATATCGACACTGTTGGTTTTGAAGCGAGGGGACATCAACATCGAGATCGAGAGCTTGTCCACCCCCAAGCAGGTACCATCAAACAAATCGACCCTGTTTAACATGTTCCCATGTTGTTACAATCAGGACGCCCTCATACTCAGTTTTCAAAAATCCTCCCCCTACAAAACCCCAAGCAACATCGATTGCAGTCTAGATTTTTCTATGGCACCCGTCAAAAGGCGTTTCCCTGGAACCACCCCCCAAACCAGACATCAATCGAATCCTTTAAAGCCACTCAACAAATTTGGCTGAGCAGGTGAGACACTTTCACAATGGTTTCTCAGCGAGTAGCATCGGCATCGTTTGTACACTCCAAGTGACTCAAGCCTGGAAGAGTAGTTTACGATCGAGGTTGTTTTGTTGGGTGTTACAGGGTAATTGAGGGCCCCCCCCGCAGCAGCTCTCGATCTGTATTTGTGCGCCTGGTGCACGATGTGATTACGGTGCCAGCATGCACATTGCATGCAAGTTGAAAGGAAATCGTTTTGGCGTTGAGTTCCCTCTTTTTGGGTCTGTCCTTTTATTAGGGGAACCCTCGTTTAAGGAAAACCAGTTTGGCAGGGGTCCGATTCCTGAAAACACTGTCAACATGTGATGATGAAGAAACCCTCCTTTTTGCTTGCAAGGCTCAAGCTGGTTTGAGGCTCAAGCAAAAACCCGAAAACATCACTGTTTTGTTTCGGGGGGGGGGGTCAGATTCCTCAAGCGCGAGATACACTCGAAACAGCGCACACAGGAGCCATGCCCGTTTTGGGGATCCTCAAAAACACAGTTCAAAATGACTATGCTCAATGCAAACTCTCTTTTGATTGGTTTTCAAGCTTCGAGGAACAACCATCAATCTTTTTTGGGCGGGTCCGATTCCGCACAATTCACGTCATGGCACAAACAGAAATCCTGTTTGCTTGATGCTCAAAGGAAATCGGAGGGGTGTGGTTTCGCGAGTTCGCACACACATTCAAGACGGTGCAACCGGAAACCCCTTGTTTGCAGCATCTCAGTTAATTCTATTATTTTTTTGTTGGCGGGGGTCTGGTCTGATTCCTGAACACGAACCTTTTGTGATCCCATAGTTCAGTGACCGATCGGCGATAGATCGATGGGTTATCGACACAAGCACGCTCGCGCGGCCCCTCTACTGGAGCCGGGGAGGGGATATTGCGGAGTGGCTCGAAGCTGGAATTTGTGTTTGTTTCTATTGGGGGGGTCACTTTAAAACCCCACAGAATCTCGGCTGGGTGTGTCTTGTTTTAACATATATTCGCTCTGGGGGAAAACTGAGAAATTGGTTATAGTGTGCCAAAGTTGAAGCGACACCATAACGCGGGAAACAAACGCGATTGTACATCGACCGATCGATGGGTCTCATTGTCTGTCCCTTCCCCACGCCCCACCGAACCTTTTTCAGTTGTGCCTCTGCAGGCCATCACGATGGTCAGCTCCAAGATCAAGACCTCGCAGGAGTGCCGCAAAGGGGTTGCGAACTTGTGCCACGGCAGCATGCTGCGGAAGTTTGGGGGGTCTGAAGGGTGCATATTGATGTTTGCAGGGGATCACATTTGTTGGTTTTTGGCACCCTCTCATCGATCCACCAAATAGATCAGCTAGGCTGTTGAGGGGTTATTGGAGAGTGAATCATTCCAATCGGAGAGCATGTCCCAAATGGTTTTTTATTATACAGTTTGCACTTTTTATTTCCGGTGATTGGCATGTGGTAAGGGCGGAACATCTACAATCTGCTGTTCAAGCCGACATTGACCAGAAGCAGAACGAGTTGGAGGCAGCACGGACGGCGCTCCAGACGGCGCTGGACGCATCTCAGGACAAGTGCTGTGTACAAGGTCTCTTTGAGGTTTCCTTGAAATCAATCCCCCCTTCAGGATGAAGCTCTTCCCGGGCTGATCGCCGGCTGTGACGCTGCTAGGGTGGGCTTTGAAAAAGCGCTGGAGCCATGCAAAGGTTCCCGGGCCAAAAAGGCCAAGACTTCCAGCTAAATGGATTGTCGACAAGGGGGCAATGCAGTACTGTGGCACCTGCTGAGCATGCAGCCCAAGATAGCAAAGGAGTTTTAGGGCCTCATGGGGCCTGGTGGAAACTTGAAATGACATGTCAAGTACAGGGGTGCCGCGGCACGCATTGCATTTTAGGGGACATGCTGATCTCTGTAGATCGGCCTCATGCTCACATAGGATCTCCGCAACCCGTGCGGACTTGCGAAAAGGGGCTTGAGTGATTGACCACAGAAATCGGGACTACTTTCAAAGGCAACCCATTGAGATCAGTCAACCAATGACCATTTTGGATGAGTTTGCCAATTGCAGCGCGTTATGAGCACGGGTTTTCACTGCGGGTCCGCCTTGACCCCGCCGCGCAGGTGCAGATCGCAAAGATCAAGATGCTCCTGGGCCAATCCAGCAGGATGCGGTCAAGAGGATTGGGTCTGGGGCAACTTGGTGTTTCCCGATTTGTGAGGCCACCCTCACAACAATCGTACATTCTGATCCCCTCAAGTTTTAAACATTGTCCAAATTAGGCACCATCTGGGGGGGGATATCAACTGGTTTCCCTTTTGACTTTTGGGCAGACCCTCTCAAGTTTTGCACCCCTCAAGTTTTAAACATTGTTCAAATTAGGCATCATCTGGGAGAGGATACCGACTGGTTTCCCTTTTGACTTTTGGGCAGACCCTCTCAACAGTTTTGTCCCCTTTAAGTTTTAAGCATTGTCCATTGCCGCCCGAGCAACTTGGCGTTTCCCCATTTGTGCGGCCACCCTCACAACAATTGTACATTATGATCCCCTCAAGTTTTAAACATTGTCCAAATTAGGCACCATCTGGGGGGGGATATCAACTGGTTTCCCTTTTGACTTTTGGGCAGACCCTCTCAAGTTTTGCACCCCTCAAGTTTTAAACATTGTTCAAATTAGGCATCATCTGGGAGAGGATACCGACTGGTTTCCCTTTTGACTTTTGGGCAGACCCTCTCAAAAGTTTTGTCCCCTTTAAGTTTTAAGCATTGTCCAAATTCGGCACCATCTGGGGGGAGGATATCAACTGGTTTCCCTTTTGACTTTTGGGCAGACCCTCTCAAAAGTGTTGCCCCCTTCAAGTTTTGAGTATTGTCCAAGTTAGGAGGATACCCGCTGGTTTCCCTTTTGACTGTTGGGCAGACCCTCTCAAAAGTTTTACCCCCTTAAAGTTTTAAGCATTGTCCAAATTAGGCACCATCCGAAGAAGTATGCCCATTGGTTTCCCTTTTGACTGTTGGGCAGACCCTCTCAAAAGTTTTATCCCCTTCAAGTGCACCATCTGGGGGAGGATACCAACTGGTTTCCCTTAAGACTTTTGGGCAGGCCGTCTCAACAGTTTTTCTTAAACGGTGTCCAAATTAGGCACCATCCGGGAGGAGGGGATATCAACTGGTTTCCCTAAGACTTTTGGGTAGACCCTCTCACAAGTTTTGCCCCCTCAAGTTTTAAACATTGTCCAAATTAGGCACTGTCCGGGGGAGGATACCAACTAGTCTGGTTTCCCTTAAGACTTTTGCTTGGGCAGACCCTCTCAAAAGATGTGCATATTTTTGTGGGCAGGGGGCCGGGTCGCTGTCGGTTTCCTGCTGGCCTTCTTTTTTAGTTGGACTAGCCGAGCCTATTTGAGCAACAAACGTATATACATTTCAAAATGATGCCTGCAGAGGGGGCTGAGTTCATGATATGCATGTGTGCACATGCATGCGTGTGACATGGATGTGCGCAGCATACGCATGCACCTAGGTAGCCAGCGTTCGTGCTGTGGTGGAATCCGTCAGATCAAGCGCCGAGGACTGATGATGACAACTCGCGCATTTTGCGTGGTCGGCTTTGATCAATTTGTGTGCGCGTTTGATCCCAGGAAGCGGGCAGTGCTGCCACACCATGGACATCAAAAATGGCGAAGTACCGGCGCGTCTCCAACAACTCGAGGGACTTCTACAGCAACATCAAGCTGCCACTGGACTGCCGCGGACACACACCGTGTCCACAAATCCCAGCGTTGAAAACCAACTTCTCAGCTGGGTTTTCATTAGCGCCCCCTGTTAGCTGGGACGCCCCCTTGTTTTGTACTTGTTCTACCTCTGCATCGGTCGCACGTGGACAATGCGCGTGCCCCCTGAGGAGCCGAGTACGGTGACCGTCTTGGCCAAGACGCCCAAAGGTGACACATGCCACCAGGACTTCCCACTCATCCTGCCGCACAAACTGTTGGATTTTTGGCGCATGTGCTTCCTTTGAAGAAGCTCGAGTGCGACGCATTTTGGCAGCACATGGAGGCGGTACACGACCCATGGGCACTGTCTTCATCAGCGTGGCGCTCTGACCACGAAGTGTGGCCAGTTGGCCTGTACGGGGACGAAGCTTCCATGGGTTTCGTGGGAGGTGGGCCAGTAGAAAAGATCATCGGCCTTTTTCTGAATATACCGTTGCATCGACCAGCATCAACGCGTCTATCAAGATTTCTCATCTTCTCCATCTCCTCGGAGTACGTAGTCAGCGCCCAGGACACGTTCTATCCGGTCTTCGACGCGATCGTGAGGAGCTTGAACGCAGCATCCACTGGGGTCGACCCTGATACCGGCGCCTTCTTAGGACCTCGCCAGCAGCGATTCCTGGTCAGTGAGCTACGTGGCGACCAAGCATGGTTTAGATACATTTTCAGGCATCGATCGCACTGGAGCGCTATCGAAATCTGCCCTCGGTGTTCTGCATCTTCCAAAGGCCCAATGGTGTACTCGGGGGACTACAAGGAAACACCTGCATGGGCTGCAACCATGCGGTTCATTGTGGATCAGTGCCCCCTGCCACACTGTGCTTTGGCTGACTTTGTCGCGCTCGAGCAAGTGTTGTGTGTGTGTGCATGTGTGTGCATGTGTGTGCATGTGTGTGCGGATGTTTGTGTCTCTGTGGCACTGTCTCTCGATTTCTGTGTCTCTGTGTCCCGTCCCGATGTGTGTCTCTGCTGTGTTATGTCTTTGTGTCTGTTTCTCTGCATCTCGATGTCTGTGTCCTATATGTTTGTCTGATTTGTGTTTGATCTGTGTCATGTCTGTGCCTGTGTGTCTGTGTGTGTCTGCGTGCGTGCACGTACATGCGTGCTTGGGTGCCTGCGTGCATGCATGTGGTGCATGTGTGTGTGCATGCAGTGTGTGCGTGTGTGTGTGTGTGAAATTCCTGAAAGGGAGGCCATGTTTTGGACAGGATGGTTTCAACTTGGACTCTCGAAGAGGACATGCTTTGGGGCCGGTTTTTGGGGCTGGTTTCAATCCAAAAAGATCTTAGACCCAGTTTAAGCGCACCGCAAAAGGGCCCCTTATTGGCAGGTGAAATCGTAGATTATATTTTGCGGGGGATCCATCGACCTGCTAAATTTCGAAACAAAGGAGTATACTAGCGCAGCGCTAGCAGTCAATTGAACTTACGTACTGCCCATGCGCTCAGGCCCGCTGGTTGGACTCCGCTTTTTTGCGGTGAGCCTGTTGAAGCACTGTACGCTCCACATCTGCAATCTGGGCCTGTGCGCCACAGCTTCAGGCTCTTGCCTGACCCTGGGCTGCATTATAGGTCCCCCCTTTGAACCGGATCTGCACGTTGGTGCGCGCGCGAGCAGTGTTCTTGCAACCGCAAATACGGCAGGTGCTTTTCAAGTATAATCGATCTTGAGCGCGTGAATGAGCCCAGTCGGCGCGATAATTATGAAGTCGATGGCCCCATTTTAAAATATACCTCATCCAGTTTTGGGCCGACCGACTCAACTACTTTCAGGATTATCCCAAGCACGATACGATCTATTTTGTCTGAGAAACGTGCAACCCGCACAAATTGAACAATGCATTAATGCATTTTCACCGTTGTTGATGACTATTGAGTTGGAATCGGGGCCAAGCTTGTTCGGAAGAGGGTACCCCATATATAGGACAAACTAATTCAGAAGGGGTTCAACTTGACTGACCTCTTGAGGCACCCTGTTGATGTGGAATCTGAACCAGCTGATTATGTCTGAGTGTGAGGCTGATGCTGATCTGCATGGGCGTCTTTGGGCCGGCAACTCCTGAAGATGTGAGGGGCGCGCTGAACACGTCTTTTGATGACTTCAGCAGCTGGAGGAAGGCAATGGGGTTGCCGTGCTCGCAGAAGCGGTTTACACCAAGACTACTTCTGAAAGATGTTCACGGCGCGCACCTTTCCACTAAAGGGTTCAATGCAAGAATCATCATTGAGTGGATCAGGGATTGCTTGGAGCGGGTTCACACTTCCAACTTCAATGGCCTTCAACCCGGACGCACGCTTCAAGCGCCAGTGCTTGGCGACAATCGGTTGCCCTACTGTTTACTTGCAATGAGCCCCGGCTTCAAAATGGGATGTTTTGAGGGTCGTGATGCTGTGTTAAACAATCGGCTTTCCATATCTCGCTCTCTCTCTCTCTCTCTCTGCCATTGCTTCCAGAGTGTCTTGACTCAGGAAGGTAACGAAAAGGCGGCATAATGGTTTTACCCTTTGAATTCTGAAACAACGGCCTGTGACCTGAACGGATCGATAAACCCCAATCAACAAAATTTCTGATCCAAGGAATGCCCTGCGCCGATTTTTCGGGCTGATGGAGCGGTCCTCGAGGTTCTTGCGTCTCGGCCGCGCCATTGGGTAGGAGTGAGCACGGCAGTGAGATGACTCCATGGTAGTCCCCTAATAGCCTAAGCAAATTGAAATTTGTTCGAACGATGGGTGGGGTACCGGGTTGATTGATGCGACAACGTGATGTGGCATGGCATTTGCTAGCGAGGTTGAGTAGCCCAAAATATTAATGAGTTGGATGGGCCCCGAAAAAATATTGTGATTGATATTCTGAAATCCCGAGTAAAACAGGCCCCGATTTGATCAGGACGGCCGTCAAGGCAGCAGAGATTGCTCGAGCTGGGCGGCGCTTCATCAAGGAGCACCTCCGCCTCACTTCGATGAGCGCGGCCATTCCGCAGCTGGCATGGGTGTGCGTTCCCAAGGTTCACGCTCCTAGCTTGCATTAACGGTGGGGGTCCGAATTAGCGTACCAATTGCATCAGCACAAATCGCGGGTTCCTAGGCGCTTGCACATGTATGCGCAGATTGCGAGGCTAACCGCCACTTGGCTCAATGCGCCGTATATTGCGCGTTTGTGCGCACGTGTGTGCGCAGTCCATTTTGATCCAAGGATGCAACCCGCGCTTCTACCACACGTTCTGTGATGAAGATGGCATGAAGCTTCTGAAGTCCATAGCGCGCAAACAGTCGAAAGCCCGACGTGAGACTGGCATTGCTCGTGTGGCCCTTTTGCGATGTCTCACTGTGAAGTGGCAGTACCGGTGAAAATTCATAGCGTGAATGAGCGTGAAATTTCCTAAGACCATGTTTACTCGATAAAGACGTATGAGTCGATGTTTACGCATGTCTTTTGATGCCCTGGGTATATATATATATATCATAGTGTATATATAGATATGTATATATTATATGTCATATTAATTCATCTACTTATACATATATATATATATATTATAGTGTATATCTCATAATTGTATATATGTATAATGTATGTACATTGTGTTTAATTATTTGTTTATGTTTAATTCATTGTTTTAATTGGTTTTGTGTCCAAGTGTCACGAGCGTAGTACTCACTCACGGGGTTTATGGACTTTATTTGGGTCTGAACCATTCTAGCGGTAAATGCAAATTGTGGTTGCTTGTTTTGCCAGTCCACTGAAGCGAGTTTCAACTCTTTGAAGATGGCGTGCTGTGCTTTGCCCCAAAATTGTGCACACTCTTTGGGTTGGAATTTGAGGGAAGCCAACAGGAAAATGGACATATGTAATTTTGAGATTTCAAGCACCATTGTAAAAATGGGGTGAGGGGTTAACATGACCGTTGTTTTCAGAGGCTGTGGGAAATGACCACTGCTGTGATACAACAAAAAGGGATTCCCAAAGACTACCCCCCAATATAAAAGGGGAAATCCAGAAGTGGTTGGATAAACTGCGAGTGATCCCAGAACCCTGTTGTTTACCCAAGAATTGTCATAGGGTGACCACAACTGGCCAAACCGCAGACCCAAATGAGCCACAGTCAAAACCCGGGTAGATAAGGGGCAGTCCCAGCCAGAAACAGTTGCGGCCGCCTTCTTAATTCTTGAAGCATGGTTCTGGGATTACGACCATTTCAATACCGGGTTTTGATTGAAACTCACTTCAGTGGACTGGCCAAACCGCAGACCCAAATGAGCCATACAGGAGCGGATTTCGGCCTGCAAGGTTCTCTTGAGGGAGTTTCTCCTTGAGAAGGTCCCTCTTGGGTTCTTGGGGGAACTGGACTCCGAGCAGGTTCGGGATGCTCTTGGCAATTCTTGCGTCCGCCGGCTCCGCTTCTGCATTGGGCGGAGACGGCATCTGATGGTCGGTTGGACCAACCGCTTTGAAGGCGCTTCTGCGATGTGCCACTGCTTTGATCCGGCCTGGGTTCCTGAAGAACCACAGTGCACTTTGTGCGGCTTTACCTTACCGTGGACGCGCTTGGGCCGGTACCAGCGTATGCCATGCTGCAAGGTATCTATCTCGGACCTGGTTACTCATGCTTCCTGCGCTGCAAGGATTGCTGAGCTAAATGCCCAGATCGACCTTCTCATTCTCCTTTTGTCTCGCGTGGGGTTTGAGCCATGATACCCGGGCAAAGTCCTGGATGACAGACAGCATCGCTATCGCCAGCCACAGTCAACACCCGGGTAGATAAGGGCAGTCCCAGCCATTGCGGCCGCCTTCTTAATTCTTGAAGCATGGTTCTGGGATTACGACCATTTTAATACCGGGTTGTGATTGAAACTCACTTCAGTGGACTGGCCAAACCGCAGACCCAAATGAGCCACAGTCAAAACCCGGGTAGATAAGGGGCAGTCCCAGCCAGAAACAGTTGCGGCCGCCTTCTTAATTCTTGAAGCATGGTTCTGGGATTACGACCATTTTAATACCGGGTTTTGATTGAAACTCACTTCAGTGGACTGGCCAAACCGCAGACCCAAATGAGCCACAGTCAAAACCCGGGTAGATAAGGGGCAGTCCCAGCCAGAAACAGTTGCGGCCGCCTTCTTAATTCTTGAAGCATGGTTCTGGGATTACGACCATTTTAAGACCGGGTTTTGATTGAAACTCACTTCATAAACTGGCCAAACCGCAGACCCAAATGAGCCACAGTCAACACCCGGGTAGATAAGGGCAGTCCCAGCCAGAAACAGTTGCGGCCGCCTTCTTAATTCTTGAAGCATGGTTCTGGGACTACGACCATTTCAATACCGGGTTTTGATTGAAACTCACTTCAGTGGACTGGCTAAACCGCAGACCCAAATGAGCCACAGTCAAAACCCAGGTAGATAAGGGTCAGTCCCAGCCAGAAACAGTTGCGGCCGCCTTCTTAATTCTTGAAGCATGGTTCTGGAATTACGACCATTTAATACCGGGTTTTGATTGAAGCTCACTTCAGTGGACTGGCCAAACCGCAGACCCAAATGAGCCACAGTCAACACCCGGGTAGATAAGGGGCAGTCCCAGCCAGAAACAGTTGCGGCCGCCTTCTTAATTCTTGAAGCATGGTTCTGGGATTACGACCATTTCAATACCGGCTTTTGATTGACACTCACCTCAGTGGACTGGCCAAACCGCAGACCCAAATAACCGCAGACCGGTCCGTTTGGTCGGCTGGGATCCGGACGGATCCGCGGCGCGAAGGCACGGACCTGGCGTGTTGGGACTGGCGCCTCCGTAGCCGGGCCTCCGTGCAGCGCCCAGAACGCGGGGGTTTTTGGGTCTGAGGAATCCGCATGCAGAAATGGCCATGGGTCAAAACCCAAATCGTACCCCCAGTGAACATCCGATTCAATCCCCACTAAAATAGACGAAGATGGGTGGTGCGCCTATCCCAAAATGGTACCATTGGTGTTGAACCATGCACAAAGTTGACGGAGTTGTCTGCGGTTAGGGTTGTGGAATCTGATTGGAGCCATGACCAAAAATTGGGAACCCCCTTGTTGGTCCAATCTTTAGTCATGGCCCCAAAAGGTGGTCACCTGTTTATTGTGGGTCCGTATATCGACAAGTGGGGATTGACAAGTGGGGGTTGATCAATATTCCATTTAGGGGCCCCAAATACTTCTGGGTAACTTCTCCCAAGTGGGAAATGTCAAATCCTTTTAGTGGATTTCTCCAATGGTCATCCCATGTACAGGACCTTTTAATCAACCCCATATGTTGATGGGGAGGGGGGAGGGACTTACTTAGGCTCCCTCCCCCTTCATAGCACCCATCGTATGTGTCATGTGTTTTTTGCGCCCCCTTTTTTATGGGCGTTGTCCTTGTGGTTTCCGTTTAACACACAAAAATGGGTACGATCGAACGTACCCTTAAATAAGACACAGCTAAACAAAGGTGCGTCTCCGCAAATTGGGCGACCCGTTTGGTAATTTAAGGTTTTGGTTGGGGAAACCCACAGGAAAATAAAGAAGAAGCATGACCCAGGGTGTTAATGAACCTCAGTTTCCTCCCTCGCTCCGTGCGAACGGCTCGGAGGCCTGTAACCTTCGCATGGATCTGCCGGTGTTTCGCTTTCCGAGTGGTGCAGGCACTGACTTCTCACAACCACAGCTCGGGATACTTGGTGGCTCCCAGCCATCCGGTTCCTTAGCTTTGTAGCCTTTCAGTGTTTAGTTTCCATTTAACCCACTAAAGGTGAGTCACTTTTAGCGGGGGTGATCAGAAAACGGGCAGCCCAGTTTTGAGACATATTAAAAAAGCGAACAACTTAGGAGTGAGCTGCCCGGGATCGGCTTCGCGTCGCGTTGCTCGCTCCAGGTGCCTCTCACTTCCCTAAGACCGCACGAGACTGGTGCCTCGTCAGACCAGATCCGAGAGATGAGACCGGGTGGGAGCAATTGGGAACCCAGCAAAACCGCTGGACTTGCTGGTACGATAGGTAGGGAATGAGGGAACGATGTTGGGGATTCCCTTCAAGAAAAGGATAGGGGGATGGCTATTACAGGGGCCATTCCCTCATTCCCTGCTGAGCACCAGCAGTTCTCATGGGAAGGGTTGAGTTATGGGCAAGGAACCTGTCATATGAGAGGGCAACATGTCATATGTTGTCGTGGGTGTATGATAGAATTGGCAGTTCATGTGACTGTCCCACCTGGAGACGACTGTGATTGCCGATTGATTAGTTTGGTGGCTCCCAGCCATCCCCCGAGCTTTGCAGGTTTGCAGTTGGTTTCGTGGTACTTTCCCTTTGTTAACCCGCTAAAAAATAGTCACCTTTAGCAGGGGGTCTGAGGGCAGCCCAGTTAGGTTGGTCTCAAGTGCCGGCACCCTGAACATCAGTCGTTGCTTTGTGTTTCCCCGTCAACCCCCGAGAGAGAGGGTACCCCAAGACCAAACAGGAACCTCACGAGAGGCCCCTTTCAACAGACAACTGTCGCCCAGGTAGCCCTGAGGCTCTATGTTTGTTGTTGAGACCCTCCGGGAAAAAAAAAAAAAAAAAAAACGGACACGCCTAAGTTGGACAAATTCCACTTCTGATTTCAGATGCAACGGTGTTGGGGGTTGTTTCCCCCTAGCCCATTCCGCGGGGGGGGGGGGATTTTTTTTTTTTCAAGCATGAGGCAACGCACAAGCCAGACACCCACAAGCCGGCGTTGCTTTTTTTCTCTGACGGCCACTGAGCTGAGAAAGGGTGTGCCTCTGCTCATGGCTGAAGGACTTCCAATGGTCTGTGCTTCTTCTTCGGGGCCCCTTTTTGGGGCGGTTTTAAGAGGAAGCGCGACGGGAAAACCACATTCCATTTGTTGAGTCCCCCCCTTTAAGGCACATACCCGTTTGCTTCAGTCCCATGTCCAATCCCGAAGTAAGTACTGAAAAGCAGTGGTTGGGAGCTGCTAGGTGGGATACATCCTCCCATTAGCGTTTCAGAGTAGGCTGTATTTTCCTCGTTGGGAAAGGGAATCTACCACTGGAAATGTTCAATGGAGGGTAGGTGAGAAAACAACACATTTCAAGTTTGCCCCTGTTGGGTGTGTCGCTTTTTGAGTGAACCCCATGTTCCCCTTTTCAATTGCGTCAACACAACTTTGATCGTGGGGGGTTCAACCAAACGGGTGTGTCTTGCTGTAGACCCAAGACAACCTGGTTCAGCTTCTCAGGAGATTGGCGGGTTGATTCTCAAGGTTCTTGTTGGGAAACAGTCTTTACGTATTTTTGCTTATTGTGGTTTAGTGGTTGAAATCCGACCACTGAAACTGCTAAGATTGCAGAAGTTTGCTCCCCTTCCGTCACTTCCACCAAGAGTAGGTAACCAAGAGCACCACCCTTCAAAGACTAAGGGGACAATGGATACGGGAGCCATTTCAAGCCGCTACCTGGGAGAAAAGAGTGTGGGCATCGCCCCAACCCGCGAGACTCGATCAGGTACGCCCCCCAGCAGTCGGTTGCCTGGACCAGGCGGGCTTTCGCGCACTTTCGCGCGCGGAGATGACTGGGAAGCCCGGGCTTGCAGTTGTCTTCTCAATTGTTCTGCCGGGTCCCCTTCTGTGTTCTTGGCTCCCAGCCATCCGGTTTCTTAGGCTAGCCTTTTAGTGTTTAGTGGCCGTGCCCACTTAACCCACTAAAAGTTAGTCACTTTTAGCGAGGGATTTGAGGGCAGCCCAGTGTCGTGCTTGGTTGGTTGGTCTTCTTTTGGTTTGTGGTGGCTTGTTTTCATGGCGTGCAACAGGGCTTTGAATAGACCCCTGTCCAGCTTTTCAGGGGTGCTAAACAGCAGCCATATTTCATTCGAGGATTCAGCTTACACGCAATTGGTGGTCTTGGTTTGGATATAGATTTGAAGGGGCCCCTGGTTCTTGCAGAGGGGGTAAATGGGATCGAATTCCCTCTCCCGATCTGGACCGCAGACTTTTTTCAGGTGTCCCAGGTGTCCATTTAGGGCAACCCCCTTCGGTAGAATTCAACCCCCAAAGGAATGGCAAGGGCCCAATTTGGATGACAACCCTTGTATAATGGTCAGATGAACCCAACCATTCTTTGTTGCATTTTGCTTGGATGTTAGGACTGTAACTTTTCGCCGACTAATTGGTTTTCCGTATCAAACCACTAAAAGTTAGTCACTTTTAGCAGGGGAGCAGAAAGCAACCAATTCCCACAACCCCGTTCCATGTTTTTGGACTCTAGTACCCGCAGGTAAGCCACAAATCACTTGGTGGTTTGACCCCAAAGCCTCTGGGGGTTACCAACGATTTTGGACCAAACCACACCGCCTGGCCGGTTGGTCGGGCGCTCCCATCGATCGGATCGAGCAGGTCTCGGCGCGCTGCTGCGTGCTGGCGTGAGGCGGATCGAGCGGAATCAGCGGATTCAAACCTTGGTTCACTGCGAATCGTCCGGTTCAACTTTGGCTTTTAGTGGTTTTTTGGGTGGTTGAGTGGTTGGGCGTCCGAATTTCACCCACTAGTTTTTGTTTGTGTTTTCTAGCTCGGCATCTGAGGACAGCAATGAAGTTGAAAAGATTAAGGATGCTGAAGCTGTGCGTGTGATCCTGGGCAATGGATGGCTTCCCTTGTGTGTTTTCCTTTAAGCCAACCCAGACATGGGTCTCCAACAATACTTCTCAAAGGGTAGACGAAATTGGAACAGAGTCAGAGAATAGTTCCGTTTCTGCATGCCTCAGATGGCCGGGGTAGTGGGTCCACGTGCATAGATTCGTTTGCACTCGGCATGTTTAGGGGAAGCGGCTTTCAGAGCTCCAGGTGGTTCCTTTCGAACCTTCAATTCGGGCCAGGGCAAACCATATGGCTCGTCTTGGGTTCAACCCCCCCTCTCTCCCCCAAAAAAAAGAAAACCTGGATTTCGGTCATCCTGTTGGTTTCCCATGTTTGTTTTAAAAAAAACACCAAAGACGCGGGAAAAAACGAGCTACCCATAAGAAACACCTAGAGGTACAAAACGCTTATACTTTAAACAAACAAAGCAAACACAGGGTTTGGTCTCCCAAACCTAGAGGTGAGAAACCCTGGTTACTTGGTTCGCGTCAGGAAGATCGACCCCGGCATCCAGAGCATCCTGCGGCGGAAGGCGGTCGTCTACGCTCACTGCTCCCAGGTGCGCTTGAATGCTATTGAGTTGGATTCCGGGCCAGGGTATTCCGCACACACACACACAAGAGGTGCTGGACTTTGTACATGTTTTGGAAGACCATGTTGGTGACAAATACAAAATTTAACCTTCGGCCCATCCACCCAGGAAATGAGGCTTCCATTCTCAGAAGCGGATGGCAGGTGAAGGGGCTTGTTCACGAGAGCAATGCAGCCAAAAGGGGATCGATGGGCACGGTTTGAATTGGGTGCGTGCGCGTGTGTGTGTGTGTGTCAAGAATCGGTGGTGTCCTTTTGGTCTCCCTTTAAATGCCAACGCCAGAAAGTACCCGCAAAACCATAACCCCAAGGGAGTTGCCATGTTTGACAGCTCTCACCATAATGCGGGCTTCCATGGAATCGCCCAGAGGGTTGCATGTTTTTCTGGATGTCTTCCGGGTGTTGGATGCGCTTTCCGTACTAAGGGAAACCCCTTGAAAGTGACAATCGGGACTATCCATGTTGGTATTAGAGAGCTATGTTTCCCACCAGCAAGCATGGCCCGGAGTAGTACCCAGGATTGATTTGCTTCAGGTGCTTGAAACGGACAAAGTGCAGGTGTTTTGAATCACCGCCATTTCAATGAGAAGGTTTTTCTTTGTTTTCCCGCACCAAACGGCTTTCTTCGGTCCATTTCTGTTCCTTACGCGCGCGTCGCACGCGCGCGTGAGCGGGGAAACACGCCAGGGCCATACCATGCAGTCCTCCGAGGGGAATTGGTCCGTGGCGCAGTCCTTAGCTCTCTCTGTTCAGCCTCCAGCCGCGTGGAGTGCTTCTTGACTCCTTTCCGGCTTTTAGGAGTTGGGAGGGTTGTTCTATTTAGTTTTTACTGGTTACCATTCTTGTAAACAACAGTTATGTTTTTGTTGGAGGGTCGTGGAGGGTTGTGGTTGTGGTTTTTAAGTTGGGAGGGTTGTGGTTCGCATATATATATATATTGACCATAGCTCAGGCCCCCCCATGAACTACCTTTTGGTTGCTGTTGCAATGTCTTAAGGTCAATAATTGTACTTATCTGAAAAACAACCATATATATATATATATACATACTTGGATCGGGGGGGAGGGCTGGTTGCCATTTAGGGGAGCGTTTCCCGTGTTTGGGGAGGTGTTTGTTTTGCATTGTTGGGTTATGGTTGCCATTTTGGAAAAGAACAATTCTGTTTTTGTTGGGGAGGGTGTTTGTTGGTTTTACTCTTTTGAGGGGCTGGTTACGACTTTTGGAAACGGGAAGTATCCGGTTTTATTTGGGAGGGTTTTGTTTTGCACTTATTTTGATTTTTTTGTGGGAGGGGGGGGGAGTGGGGGGCTGGTTGCCATTTAGGGAAGTTGTTTCCTGTATTTTTAAGGGTTTGGTTTTGCATCTTAATTTGCCTTTGTTTTGTTTTCCCCCTTTTTTGGGAGGTTGTTTCCTGTATTTTTGCATTTTTTTGGGTGGCCCTTTTCGGGGCGGCCCACAAGAAGGCCAATCCGAGGTTCTCCCCATGGACATCTTCTGGGGCTCTGGGCTCCATTTTCCGGAACTGAGCTGAGCTGGTTCTGCTTGGCCTCTGTGTTTCCGTCTCCGATGCTAAGACTAGTTCAATAAACAAAGGAGGGGTATGTTTTAGGAATTGTCGATTTCCTAAAAACAAATCCCAAAGAAAGACGAAGAAGAAGAAAACAATCCGCACCCAGAAACAAATGTGTTGAGCCATGTCGAACACATTTTCAGGAAGACGCCCCAAATTTTCACACAGCCGGCGGGCATCGGATTCCTAGGCCCGGCTGGTCTTTTCCGCCGCATGCGGCCGGGAGCCCGTTGCCGAGATCGGGTTCTCGGCCAAAGTCGGTCCTAGAGCCATAACTTCACTGTTATTGGCATGGTTTTTGGTTTTTTAGTTTTTGGGTCATGTTCATTTTTACTGGGGGTCTGCAAACAAGAATTCGCTACCATACCAAGAGTAGAGATGATAGCAATCCTTAGCGCCGCAAACAACAGAGGTGCCTCGGCAGGTTGAACCCACAAAAGAATGAAATGGTCCAAGGTATGATGTTATTTCACACTTTTCCTTGGTTGAGAGTCTAGGTATTGCTCCAACAACCCCCATGTGGTTTCTCTTCAAAGGGGCCACAAGCTTTTGTTCCTTGCTGGAAATACTCGCATTCCCTGAGGGCCAGCAAGTTGCGTGCCTTTGGTTCCAGAATGGGTTAGTCTCACCGGAGAACTCCCAATCAGTGGCGTCCTTTGTTTCCCTTGAAGCAAACCGAAGAAAGGGTTCCCTTGGCAAATGCACGCTCAAATGTGTTTGAAGCACGAGACTGGCCTTTTGAAGAAACAAAACAAAGGAGGCTGTTAACACCGTATTTTACATGGTCAAACCGCCAGAAGGTCATGTTTCGTTTGTTCAAACCATCTTTGGCCAACTCGGTGGTCTTTTACCCCAACAAAAAAAATCCGGACATGCCCACCACGTTCGGAAGACGATTTTCCTGTTGGACAGCAAGTTTGTGTACTTCAATGTGTGATGGTGTTTTTCAAAAAGGTGGTCCCCTAAAATAGTTATTGTCCTTGTGGCTTCCCTTTCTATACCAGCCAAAAAGGGGGTCCACCATTTTGAGAAGCTCCCACGTGTTTTGGTAGCTTGAAGCACCGGATATCATGAGGTACCAACTAGTTTAGACCACCTTAAGGAAAGGCAGCAGAGTAGATTGAGAGGTGGCTGCATCGCGAAACAACCACAAGCCTCCAGCAGTCTGACCAGCTGACTGTGACAAGCACTGCCAGCAACCATCACACCTTCACGGCAAGCAGCACCCTGGCAGCACCACCAGGCGCAACTGCCACCAGCGTCCCCAAAGCACCCTGGCCGCTAAACAAGCACCGCCAGACACCACAGCACCGGCAACAAGAAGAGTCCCTTACCCCCCGAGATGCAGCGGAGTATGGTTGGAGGCTCTCTTTTTGGCTGTTTCCGCAACTGTTCCAAAGTAAACCAGAAGAACAACACGACATGGTCGGAAGTTTTCCGGTTTTGGACACACACAGCTGGGGCGAATGGGCTCTTTTCAGATTTTGGTGGTCCGGAATCGGCCCGCAGATTCCCGCCAGGCATTTGCAAGAAGGGCCTGGGAGTCGAGCGGAAGCTTGAGGCTCGCTTTCGCGGCCGTGCAGCGGTCGGTTGGAAGTTTGGATTGGTCTTTGAGAGGGACAAAAAAACAAAGAAGGTTATGAAGTTCGAGGTTCACCTTGGGGGGCGGCCGGCCTAAATGGCGACCTGGAAGTCAATGATGACCATCCCGCCGGGAGTCCAACGACCATTCAAACAATTGGGGGGGGGGGGGGTAATATAGCCACCATGTGATTTTAGCCATTCAACATGTTTTGTCATGTTCAGCAGGACTTGATCTGAGTTGGTGAACATGGAACCCCATGAAGCCCGCCTCATGTGTTCCTGAAATGTTTATTTCAGCCAGCCTCGGGGTCGACAAACGTGTTTGTTTGTCATGGGGGTCGAAGCCTATGATCTCCCTGAGAAAGCTTCTATGCTCTTCCGATCGGAGGGTTCCCAGTGGCGTGTCAGAGATAGACCCCAGGTGAATCCTTATGGTTCCCAGCAACACTTGACATAAAGGCCCAAAGACTAACACACACACAAGCAAACATGTTGCATGATCGTAACTTTGGCGCATTTTGCTTGGCTGTTAGGACTTTAACTTGTTGCCAACGAATGGGGTTTCCATTAAACCACTAAAAGTTAAACTTTTAGCAGGGGAGCAGAAAGCAACCAATTCCCACAACCCCGTTCCATGTTTTTGGACCCTAGTACCCGCAGGTAAGCCACAAATCACTTGGCCAAAGCGTACTGGACCCGCAGACAATGGAACCCCAGATCAATAAACCCGTCCTACTGTGGATCGGCGAAATCCTGCACCCAAGAAACCCTGGAAAGATGATTGCCCTGTAAAATACCAACAAACATTGGCCTCCCATGGTTTCAAAGCGGTGCATACTGCTTCGTCCATCCAGTAGGGAGTGTCACCAAAGGTGCAGGAGTCCCATTAAAAGGAGGCGCGCGCCCGAGGGCAGGTCGGGGTGCCATTGGGCTGGTGAGGCTTGCCATTTGGCGAGTGGATTCCGAGCTTGGCAGCGTTTGTCGTGCACAGACCGTCGAATGTGCGTTGGTCGATCTAGCTGACGAGATCATTCATGTGCTGTACCTCATGCTTCTCATTGCCATAATCATCATAAATATCCTTCTCAAAGAAGCCCGTGACTCGTGAATCAGAGCCAGCTCTCGATACAATGTGTATATTCAACTAAACTGACACGAAGACATGCCGATGTGTTTGAATCCTTTGCACCATGTTGTGAATACCGCATGTGTGCCCACTGTCAAGGACCACAAATGCTAAATGGGACCCAATTCAGGCAAACGCATTTCAGAAGCCATTGGTGTAGCAACTTGCTACGCAAGACAGACCAAGGGTGGTGGATGTGGCGGCCTCGCAGAAGTCGATTCGATGGAAACAAGTGGTGTTGATCTAGGCTGGGTTGTGACCCAGCCGATTGTAAGCCATTATTTTGTGCCATGTTATTCTTCCACGGGCCTTCCTCGCCAAATTGCAGGGTGCTAGGATGCCTAAAACATCCTAAAACAATCAGAAAGGTGATGTTCAAAAGCCGCCCAAGGGACTGTGGATGGACAAAATCCATTTCGAACCAGTTGGGATTGGTGGATTATCAACCAGTCGCAACTGGTGGAGTTTGTTCATCCACAGTATGGGGGGACCCTTGAATTGCTGATCCCAACTATTTCAGGACTGGTCCCTAAAAGCAACCAAGTGCTTTTGGGGTCCCCTTGGTTACTGCCCAATTTGCATTCAAACTTTTGAAGGGAAAATCTAGGGGGTTTTCAGGGTTTCATTGATTATTCTGTGTGTTTGTTTGATGGAACCCTTGAAGATCGTAAGGGAGACCACAAAGACAGGTGGGGGTATCCCTAGTTTGAAACATCCCAGTATTGGACATTCCCACTACGTCGCACTTGTTGCTTCTACTTCATACCATATGCCAAACTCAACCAACCTGTTTGTTTCTTGTCCTTTGTCACTTTTGCGAGTGTAAGTTGTTTGGCCAAGCCGGGGGATACCCAACTTGGTGTTTATTGCCAAGTTAGGAAGTTGTCCGCAACCTGGGTTCCAACCCACTTTAGCCCAGTCATTTGACTATAACCCAGGTGGCTAACCACTCCATGTTGACGTCGGATAAATAATTCTCCCAGATGATTATATGAGAGTGCTCCCCTTCAAGAGTGATGAGTCCCCACTAAACTCAGAATCGGACACCCCCGAACACTACACTGGGGTTTATTGGCGAATCGAACATCCAAGAACTCGGAGCACTTCGGACGGACCGCGCAGTGCACCTCCTGCGGCTTCTTCCTTTGCAGCTCCTGCGACCGGAAAGGCCTCTTCCGAGGCCAGCTGACGCGCTTCCCTCGCGTCGAAGCGTGTGTTTGTGTGGTTGTTCGTTGAGGGGATGTTTTGTTTTTCTTTTGTTTTCTTCTTTTTTTCTTGGCTGCTGTTGGCATGTTTTAGATTTTAGTTGTTGTTGGTTCTGCTCATTTTCTGTAGGGGACTAGCAAAAACAGTTTTACCCTGCCAAGGGCTGGACAGTTACTCTGTTGGGGTTTGAGGGGTTGTATGTGTGTGTGTGTGTCTCTGTTGTGAAAAGATGCCTAGGGAATGGTTACTTCGATTAGAACCACGAAGGAAAAACATGTGCGCGACTGCCTTTAGTTGCAGAAGGCTACAGTCAGGGCCGGGCGTACATATTTTAGGGTAGCATACTGAAATCATACTGGATGCAAAACGAGGTAGGAACATCCCCCAAAACGAGGTAGGGTCACGGCATATAGGTGGTTGAGATAACAAAGAGATGCGGCTGTGGAAAAAACAGTGTCAATGAGTCCACTCGGATGCAAGGTTGGAGAACGAGCTGGGAATACCCGACCATTCTTGCTGAGGGATGGTTGCTTCTTCCCCCACGTAGAGAGTGTGTGTGCGTGTGCGTGTGCGTGTGCGTGTGCGTGTGCGTGTGCGTGTGCGTGTGCGTGTGCGTGTGCGTGTGCGTGTGCGTGTGCGTGTGCGTGTGCGTGTGCGTGTGCGTGTGCGTGTGCGTGTGCGTGTGCGTGTGCGTGTGCGTGTGCGTGTGCGTGTGCGTGTGCGTGTGCGTGTGCGTGTGCGTGTGCGTGTGTGTGTGTGTGTGTGTGTGTGTGTGTGTGTGTGTGTGTGTGTGTGTGTGTGTGTGTGTGTGTGTGTGTGTGTGTGTGTGTGTGTGTGTGTGTGTGTGTGTGTGTGTGTGTGTGTGTGTGTGTGTGTGTGTGTGTGTGTGTGTGTGTGTGTGTGTGTGTGTGTGTGTGTGTGTGTGTGTGTGTGTGTGTGTGTGTGTGTGTGTGTGTGTGTGCGTCTTTTTGTTGTGCGTATTTGTGTTGAGGGCAACCACACTGCCCCATTTCTACATGTACGGTACCCGTCCAAAAGTAAGCCACTCTCAGAGCCAGAATACCCAGGAGGAGAAAACCTGTCAAAATGAGCAGCTCGGAAATTTGTGGGCAGGTGGGAAATTGCAGTACTTAATGTTGACCCCATATTAATCAACCCCAGTTTGGCCCCAATCCCCCCATTAATAACCTGGTTGGTTGATTAATATGGGGTCAATATTACATGTGTTTAAGCCTGAGCTTGGGAGGACATTGTCCAAGGGCGAAAAAGCCAACGTGCAACAGACTGGGAAATCCCGGGATGTGCTTAAAGCGGTATAATATTGTTTTTATTTGGATGATCCTTTTCTGCACTCTCCACAAACAAATACCCAGCCAGGAACGCGAGACCTGGGATATGGGGGTGGAGTAAGGAAGGGAGGAGGGACTAAGTTTCAGGTGGGTTTGGCGTTTCGTTCGACTGGGACTATCTTGTTATGTTTTGTGCCAGTATGGGCTGAATGATTGTGTTTGCATCGCTAAAGTTGTTTATTCCCTATCTATATACCGCCTATGTTGCTGCAACGCTGCGGTCCAAGCAAGTGGTTGCTTGCTGACCAATTTGTACTGATTCTAGGTCCCCAGTAGTGCCCTTTCTCACCCTTTTTTGGGGAGGGTTCTACTAAAACCGACGAAAAAGAAGAAATTGGCTACCCATATTCTAGCCTCTCTACTGGACCTAGGGTTTCTTGCATCGATGCAAGTTCATGGCATCCAGCTGCGATCCGTCCAGAGAGTTTGCGGAATCTGCCTCCGAGACGTGGGGTTTTTGTGCAGAAAGGGGCCCGAGTCTGACCAGAGATGTCCAATTTTTTGCCCTCGGGGGCTCTACATGGTTGTTGTTGGGAAACAGTTTTTCATTTGCTTATTGGTTATTATTGTTGGGAAATCCAACCACTTAACTGCTAAAATTTCAAGTGTTGCTCCCCTTTCAACGTCAACCAAGTCTATATCTTGCTAAATTGCGGTGATGAAAGGGAGCAACAGAAACCCTGGGCAAACGACCCTGCCTTTTCAGCGGTGAGCTTTGCATGCAGAAGCGGACATCAGAGGCCCAATCGCATGACACTGACGCACACTTCGCTGTGTCTGTTTTAGAGGGCCCCCCAAAAAACACCGGCGGGTTTCATGTTGGTTTCCAGTTTCCCCTTAAACCAAGCCACCAAACAAGGGGTACCTTACACACGCGCTTCATTGAAAGTCTCGGGGAAAGGGCCGCCCCCCATGGCAAGTGCCCTGAAGCCCCGCCTCAGCTCCGTCCCTCGACCCGGCACTGTCAAAGCCATGGATGGCTCGTCCGTTTTTTGGATGGAACCCATTGTTCCGGGGCTGGTTTAAATGGACACCAACCGGAAAAAGGACCCACTTGGCCATTTTGGTACCCAACCCAACCACCCCCACCAACCCCCACCAACCCCACCACCCCAACCCACCCATTTGCTCCCGGCCTTCTTCTCCTCCAGCCTCCCCCCTGCGAGCAACTTGAGGCTACTACTCCTTGGGCTCCATGGCGGCCACCACCGCCAGGCCTTCGATCCTTCGGATGCTTCGGGCGGTGGCGGGAGAGGTTCGGCGGATGGATGTGGCGTCTCTGGAGAAGAAAAAACGGGCGGAGGAATGACGGGCTTTTCGGGCGCCCTAAAAAGGGACACCCCGGAATTCGGGGTGCATGAGAATTGAGTGAAGGCATGCGCATCTTCACAAGATGTTCGAACTGCCGTACAGGCTGTGCAAGTGGTCCTTCCTATTCTGAGCGCATTCTTGTTACATTGTTTGGACGGCGAGCGATTAAAGAAACTAACGGGAACCCAGACCCTAAAATGGGGATCCCATTTGGAGACAAGCCCTTGGGTGTTTCTCGAAATTGGGACCGATTCCTGCAGGCTTCCTTTTGGTTTCTCCTTTGGAGCCATCCAAAAAGCCTGTTTTCAGACACACTTCCTGTGTCTGGCGTCGCACGGGTATTTTTCTGGACTGGGATGCAGCTTCCTTTCGGCCCACTCTCGCCAGGCAATTGCTGCAAGAGCCGGGCTGGATACGCTACAAGGCCGAATCTGAAATCCATGGGCTTGGGTTGGCCTAGAGAAACTAGGTCCCCCAGCTCTCACCCTTTAGTGGGGCGGAGGGCTCCCCAACTAAAATAGACTACAGAAAAAGTTGGCACCCTTGTTCTAACCTCTTTTCTGGAGGACCTAGGAAAGGACCAACCGGGCTCTCTATATTTCCCCGAGCCAAAAAGGTGATGTTTGAAACCACCAACAAGAGAAATAGAGCTGGACCCCTGACCAAGGATGCCATGGTCCTGCTCGGGGTTGACGAAAATGGTCATCCACCTGGCAGTAAGGATTCTTATAGCCATTATTGCTTATGGCGATTTGGTAACGGATCTTTTTTAACTTTAACTTTGTGGTTGAAACAGGTCGGATTTGCCGTATTGGACCCAAAAAAAGTGTTGCAGAGGTGTCGTTGCAACAACCAAGTGAAAATGCTTCCTACTGAAGGAAGCATGACATCAACCGGCCAAAGAAACAGATGTTTGATCATGGCGCATATGATTCCTCTCGCCTCACAAAAAAGAGGGGCGTGAGATGTGGGGGTGCTTCGGCCCTTTTGGATGACCACTTTCCTTTTGGCCAGGGGGGGGTCTTCAAAGCCCAACGCATGCCATCATTCACCAGCACCCCCCCAAAAAGCTCTTTCCCATGTCCAAAATATCCTGTCCAAAAAGCAGTGGTTGGGACCCGGGTGTTGGCACTAACTGGTTCCGAAAACTTACACAGTTGCTTGGGTCGTGCTGTGGTCGAAGCTTCGCCTTGGTTCGGAGTCGGCTCAAAGGTATCCTTTTGATGTTGGAAACAGATGGGTTGTGGTTTAGATGGGCTTTATTCCATTTACCAGGGCCACTCGCAAGAGCACGGTCTCTCGAAGCGGCCAAGCATTTGGGATATTTCAACGCATCCAGCACAAACAAAGCTGAAAACGGTGAGACGCCTGAAATAATGGACTCACCTCAAATGCAATCCCTCGACACCAGCCGCGCTCGTAAACAATGTTCGGAACGCTACTCCGCAGGGAGAGTGCAGCCAGCCTATTTGGACAGATAGATGGCATTCCTTTTGGTGCATCTCATAACCTGAAAATCCTGCCCTTAGCAAAACAGAAAACAGATGAGCACACACACACACACACAACACACACCAGAAAACCTTTCGCATGAAAGCCTCGGAAGTGGGTCCCGCAACAACAGACTAGGTGTGTCTTTCGAAAGGGACCCCCCCCAAGCAAAAGGCGGTTGTCCTTATGGTTTTCCTTTAAACCAGCCAGAAAAAAGGGTCAAAAGATACACCCAGATCCTCCACAGAGATGTTGTTGGTTCCGTGATTTGTTTTGGGGAAAAAAGGAGATCCCTCTCATGCACTTTTGCAAGTTGAGCAAGGATTTATTTGGGAGGAGAGGCACCCCATGTGTTTGGGGCACTATGCAATTCTCAAGGGTAGTTTGAGGGTCCCAAAACATCCCCAAACGAGATTGGTTCCATTGCTTCATTTCTGCAAGAGTAAGCAAACAGGAGGTTCTTCCAAGAGGATGCCCTTTGAAAAGCAGGTTTGACTAGGTTTCCCAGTAGTGCCCTTTCTCACCCCTTTTTTGGGGTTTTGGATTCCCCTGCTAAAAAAGACTACCGAAAAAAAGTTGGCACCAACTTTTCCTAACCTCTCGAGTGGAGGACCTAGGAGCCCAAGCGTTCGGCGCGAGAACGGTGGTTTTCATAGTCCTGAGGCGCGGCGGTACCTGGCGGCAGCTGGCCAGCCTGGTGGGCCGTAGCTCGGCCAAAGAGCGGGACGAGGTGCAGCGTTGCTTTTTGGTTGGTGGAGGGAAACATGATCTTTGTTGTTGATTTTTGTTGTGTGTGTGTTTTTTGGTTGAAGTGAAGCTTCTGTTTTTTTGTTGTTGAGGGGAACTCCCAGAATCCGCCAATTCGCTGCTTTTTGGAAGGGTTCCGATTCCTAAAAAGACTCGACCAAACAAAGATGCCCATTCCTTTGTCCCCACCACTGGGCACCTGAGAACTTGATTTTGAACGGATCTTTGGACTTCAACTGTTTGGTTGGAGGGGTTTTCCAAGCCCAGAGAAAGTCATCCACTTTTTCCAACGAAAAAATCAGGGTAATGCTACTTGGTGGCTCGAGCCGCCATCCGGTTCCTTGGCTGCTGTGGTTTTAGTTCGGTTAGTGGTAGTTTCCGTTTAACCCACAAGTTGAGCTTTTAGCAGGGCAGCCCATGGGGTGTGTCTGATTTTTACTTGGGGACCCTTCGGTGGACATCATTTGGTTGGGAATCTAAGTACTTTTGGGACGGATCTATGTCCACCGATCACTTTTGAGGTGGCTCCAACTCTTAAAAAGACATGGCCAGAATGACTTGGGTTGCGGTGTACTTCAAAAGCAAATAATGTATAGAAAGTAGACCTCAGTTGCCCAAAGCTGATCTTTCGACCTGTTGGTTTTCCTTGACTTGGTCCATTTTTGGTCATGGACCCCAACGGTCAGCCTTTGATTCCTCGGTTCGCACCTTCTGCAAATATTGTGCACCTGACATTCTCCTTTTAGCCTTGGGTTGACCATTTGAAAGGAAAAAGGAAACACCTATCAATGAGGCTCGGGGGGCAGGGAGGGGCGGGGGGAGGCAACAATAGCTATCAAGCCCCAAAGCCCCGTTTTTTGTTTTCTTCTTTTTTTCGCTCCCTCTCCCTTCCCCTCCCTCGCTGAGACCTGAATCAAAATCGTCATGTCCCCCTATTTTGACACATGCGCCTATCGAGTTGGGTAACACAACCCCTAGAGATGGAAGCATGCGGATTGCCGCTCAAGTTCGGCGGATTGCCGGCTTTGCTTGAAAGTCAGTCCGCAGTCATCAGAGCGAAACCTCGAGGGAGGTTGGAATATTTCAGGCCCAATGATTGCGAGCATCGAGAGAACCGGCAAGACAGGCCGGCTGTTTGCTTAGGTTGCAGCTGGGGGTTGATTAAAAGGTCCGTTCAGCATGGGACCATGAGACAGCGAAAAAAGACGACTTTCACCACTAGATGGGAACAGTTACCCATGGTCATTTTGTGGCCAGGCTCAGCTGGGTGAAATACGTGAGGTTTTAGGTTGCCACTGTTTGGACTACCAAGGGCATTAAGTAGGTATGGGAATGATGTCAACTGCAGTTAGGTGAAACATGGAACCGTTCCATACAGGGATCCATTTGTGGTGATTCGAATATGGGACAGGGTATGTCCTAAAGACGATTTGAACCATTTGTTGGTGTCTTTTGCGGTCCCGCTGGGGTCCGGCACGTGGGAGCACGCCCTATAGGCATGTTGGGATCCCAGGTGATGGGGCAACCTCCGACAAAAAACATTGGTATTCTTTGGTAGTACTCGGGGCAGCTTGGGGTCCCCTACTTTGAGAAGCTAAGGACCACTCAAAAGCGATACTCCCCGTTTTACTTCCGCATGGCAAGCTTAGAGGTATTTTGTCCGCTCACTTGTCCTGATTCAGCTGGCCTCATAATTTTTCCATGATCAAAGCCCCCCCCCCCCAAGGCCCTATGTGGTGGGTTAAAGGGGGTCCCATTTACTGACTTTGATAACCCCAAAAAACCGGCAGGACCATGGCAAAGGGAGCCAGGGCAAGTAGAAGGGACCAGGGCCATAGCCTTCTCATGCCTGCGAGCGCATAGTTCCGCGCGGTTCGTTTCAAGTTGAAGCCCCACCTGAAATGCGAAGATATCTCCTCGCTCCCTTGGATGAATGGACTCGCGGACTTTAGTGTCTTTTGACTCTCTTCCTGAGTTCATGGACTTTATACTTGTTTGGAATATATGTTTTGTTATGGCAAAGGAAAACGCTCGGATTTTTTGTTGGCCATCTACTCGGGAAGAGAGTTGAGGTCTGAGACCATTTGAGTGGCAGAGTTTGGTTACCTTTTGTTTGGCCAGTCCACTCAGAAAGTGAGCCTTTCATAGACATTGCAGCTTCAGGGCTCCCAGATTTGGGTTGCCTTTGGTGAAATGGCTGGGTGGGACATCGGAAAATTAGACCTGACACCTGACGCAGTGGCCGTTCAGTAAGGCCGACAAGCAATTACGTTCCGTGCAAGTTGCGCGTCACCCATGACTCAGTTTCTTTTACTGGATCCATATCTTCTTTGCGGTTGGTGAAATATGGACAAACGGGCTCCGATCACTTCAGCAGTGATGTTCTTTTCCGCATCTGAAAGGACAACGGGTTGCTCTCGGGTCACCTGCTTGAAAACAGAAAAATGATTTTGCATCCCGCTCCATCTATTTCAGGGATTTTGGCATGTGTGATTCTACATGATCTTGCAGGTCTGGAGCTAGTTTTAAGTGAATGAGATCAGGGGAGTACATCAGGTACTGCCTCGTGGCTGGAACCCTGGGATCTCCGCGATTTTATGGAGGGCCAGAAAAAAGAATCCGCAAGGGTGTTTCTCGGGAAACCAACAGGTAGGCCCCAACCCTTGTGGGGACCCCCCAAGAACAGACACGCCCATGAAATGTTCTGAAAACAATCTCAGACAGCACGTCTAGGTTCCCCAGTAGTGCCCTTTTACCCTTTTTTGGGGGAGAGTTCCGCTACTAAAATAGACTACAGAAAAAAAATAGAAGTTGGTAACCTTATTCTAACCTCTCAAATCTGGAGGATCTAGGTGTGTGGCTTGCGCCCAGGTTGAGCCTAGACGTGTGGCAAGGGAAGCTCGCATTGAG